CACAGATGAAGGGGGAGAAGAGACAAAGAAACAGCAAACCCGCGTCCATCGACCTCAACTCTCTCTCTCCTCCTCCCTTTCTTCTCCGATGCAGACAGTCCGTCGTCACGCACCAACCCACGAAGTCGTCACCCCGCTTAGTCTTCCCGCACCCGTCGGATTCGCCCGTGCCCACAGTCCGTCGTGGCCCACGTCAATCCCACGCGTTCGGCACCAGCCCGTCGGGTCGCCCAACTCCTACTCTACTCACCTCTTACTTCGCTCGTGTGCCGACCCTTCCTGATCGCGCCGAGCTTCCAATAACGGGTTAAGAGAGCCGACTAATCGCGCAGCCGAAATTTATAGTGTTCATGCATGCGCGAAGAACATGGAATTTCCCAGACTGAGAGTGAAGATTAGATGGGGAGCGTCTGCGTTCTGCATGATCGGGCGCGGCGTGGGGGACGTAACCCTTCTCCACGCATCGATCCGAGCATGCAAGATGCGGCTTACAAAGTCTCAGCAAAGGAAGGAGAGAGGAGGGCGGGAGAGACGAAGTGTAAGAAGAGAGATACAGTTACAAGGGTGTCTTCCAAAATTACAGTTACTCATACGATTACAAGGGCCCATTAATCAGAGTACCGTCACAACCGCCTGAAGAAGCGCGTAGACAAAAGGGGGGGCCACAGAGGCTCGTCCTGGGGGTGCAGGCGAATTAGGATTGTTTTGTTGATTGAGGTTGACCGCAGCAGCGGCTGCTGCAGCGGCGGCCGCAACCATGGGGCCTGCTCGTCTTGCGGCGGATGTTCGGCTGCGTGTAGCTATAGGACTACGTCGGCGTGGATTCCCAGCTAGGAGGCACCTTCGTGGAGCCAGATCGCCTCAATCCAGTCAGTACCGCACCTACAGACCCTGTCGCTTAACACTTGCTTTCAATCCCAAGACTTCAGCCACGTGTCGGGCTCCGATACCAACCTCACGCCCAACGCGACTTCCTGATCGGGGTGGATTGTGGGCCTGAACTGCGAAAAGGGGTGTGCCAAGGATTTTTTGGGAAAAGTGGGGGAGTCTTAAGGATATGAATGCAATTGGGCGAAAAGGGGGCGCGCGAGGCCGGGGACTCACGTCAAAAGGGACCGGGACATTGTGGGCGACGAGTTACGGGGAAGTCCCTTCGTGGTGGAGGCGGTCCCGAAAAGTTGGGCCATCGGGCCCCGCCACGTGGCGCAGGTCGCCGCAGACCTTGGTTGGGTCTTCGAAGTCCCTGAGTTCTCGGCTCGCCAAGACGTCGACAATTCACGCAGAATGTATTGGGCCAATAGGGGGCTATGGCCGACCACGAAACGACGCTGAGTTGATGATATGGGAGGAGAAGGCGGAAGGGAGGGAAGCTGGTGGTAATCTCAACGAATCC